GGGCGCCAGATTTGGAAGGCGCCCTCGCCGGCGAGGAGGCGGCGGCGCGGGTCGCCGAGCGCCGCGTCGTGGAGTGGGAGTGCCGGGCGGGGCACCGGTTCGGCGCGAGCGTGCAGTGCCTGATGGCTCAGGTGCAGCGACGGCAGTCGCAGGCCTCGCGCGCGTCGGCGCGCTGGACCAACTCGGACGCGGCGTGCCCGGTCTGCGAGGCGGCCGATCTCCGGCCGAGAGGCGCCAAGCCGAGCCCGAAGGGGTGCGCCTCCCCTCACCCCGCGCATCCTGTGAGCAGGCGGCCGACCTCGGCCAAAAGGTGCTCCTCGAGGCGGGCGTCGCGTGCGAGTCGGCCGAGTTCGTGCCGCGGAGCGGGCAGTGCGAGCACCACGCGCTCTGCATCCGGGGCAAGGGCCACCACGTGGCCCAGCCCTTCGCGTACGGAAGCGGCCATCCCGCCTGGCTATACCCCACCGGGACGACCTCGGGCAGGCAGGGCTGCGTGCTGCTCCGGGGGCCGCGCGGCGGGGGCCAGGCCCGAGTGCCGATGGCCTCGCTGCCGATCGCGGGTGGCGGCGGTGTCTTTAAGCTCACCTTTTGCTGCCGGCTGGGTCACCGGTGGCAGACCAGCGAGCGGCTCTTCAACCACACCGAAGGCGGACGCAACCGCGTGAGGATCGGCAAGTCGGAGCTGCTGAACGCCGGCGCCTACAACGCCAAGCTGGTGGGGCCGCACTCCTGCTGCGAGTGCAAGCTCAAGGGGCAGCGCGACCTGCTGCAGAGGGCGGCGAGCAGCTACTACGGCAGCCGGGACCCGGGGCCCAGCCCGACGGACGCGGCGGCCGAGTGCGAGCGGCTGCTCGCGCTTGACCGCGACGCCAGCGCGTGGGCGGTGCTGGGCCTCACGGGGCACGACCGCGGAGCGGCGCGGCAGCGCTACTACGTCCTCGCCCGGCTGCTGCACCCGGACAAGTGCAGCCAGCGAGGAGCCGCGGACGCGTTTAAGCGCGTCGCCGACGCGTTCAGACGGATCGACGGCTCCTCGAGCTTTTGATCGTACGTTTTGTCCGCCGGCGAGGAGAGTTCAGTACGGTAGGTGGAGTACGGGCCGCACAGGCGAAAGAAAGAAAGAAGGAAAGAAAATAGACAACCCAAGGGCCTGAAAACCTGCGCCCAAATTCTCAATTGTCGGATTTTTTGTGCCACCTGCGGCTGCAGCAGGCCTGAGGCGCCGCCGATTAAAAAAAAGAATCAGTAAGTTTACGATCCTAGATATTATCTCTGGCCTAAGCCAGGCTGCTGCGTCCACCACGCCCGGCGCCGCCGCGTTCACTCCCACTAGGATGCTGCGCGCACATCAGAGGCCCCCACAAACGTTCGATGTAGTGCGAGACCTCATCATTGGCGTACCTTGACTGGTTGAGCAATCCCCTGTAGATCTCCACGGGGGCGTTACGGATCTGCTCGCGTGTCACCTGTAGCTGCTCGCCATAGTGCACGTTGCAGCCCGATGCCCACACGTGCTCCTTGATCCTCTTGAGCGGTGCCAGTGCCGCCTCCGCGTCCACCCATGCCCCCAGATTCACGTGGCCACTGCGCACGAAGGGCAAGGTCTTGCCCTCATACATGCGAG